TCTGTTTTCCGCTTCAGCGACAGTGAATATCATGTATTGCACAAATTTCCTTAAGCATTATTTAGTTGTTTATATTCGAAACATACATGACAACTTTGAAAACACATTAAAAAGTGATTTTAGGACATGATAAAATAATCTGAAAATGCCACTAATCGGGGAAAAATGCATCCATACTGGGGTAAAATGCGCTACAACAAAGAAGCAAGACGCCCCATAATAATGAGGCAAAATGCACCCCAACAATGGGACAAAATGAATTACAATAATGGGGCAATATGACTCTCCTTATCATGACCAATTGATGCAGAAGAACGTCTTCGTTTTTGAATGCCCCTAGTTCCGATCGTGATTGTTCTAAGGTCCATGACCGCTTAGTAGACTTAGGAACGTTGCGCACAATTTCTGAAGAAAGAATTGAACATAAACCAGCTTGTTTACTAAAGGATAATTTTACCCCGAACTTAGGAGTGCATTTTGCACCGAATGATCATAAAATAGAAATACATATTAAAACTTATCAAATAGAAATACATATTAAAACTTAGAAAATTGTTTTCAGAAAAATTAAACAATAAATCAATCTTGTAAAAATTGCTAGAGATAGCAATTTTAGTTCTTTAATTTTGCACGGAAGATTTTTTTCGATTGAGCGCTGCATTATTTTGCAAGAAATCGATGAAGTGAGTCATTCTAATCCGATCCACTTTCACCTTAATAACTGTGGAAGTGCATCTAGAACACTACGTTGAGAGCCGGTAAAACGCCCGCTACAGAAGCGTGAAAAGCCTAGAAGAAGATGAAATCATCTACAAATCCCTTCCCCAATTGTAAAACACTGTAAGATTTTACGTTAAGAAAAAACTTAGTTAAGGAACTATTGCCTTACACAATTTTTGCATGACCACTTTGATTATAACCCGGGATTTTGAGTATTGAACAAATATGAAAACAAGTCATGCTAACCACCTAAATTGCAACAAAATATTGAAGAATTTAGCTCAATCTGATTAAAAGGCGTGCATTAGGTAGGTTTATTTACTCAAAATAGACTTACCAAGGTGGATTATGTGTACAACGCCGTTGTTGTCCACAAACGACGCGTTTATTCCGAAAACCGACCGTCCGTGTCGGGTGGCCGAGTCCACTCTCTACTAGAGTTTGCCTGAATTTATTGGTAATACTTTGTCGCATAATGTCTGCAGCACGGTGGATGAGTAATGGAATGGTGTTCCGGGATATTGTAAGGCCGCAAGCTTTCCACAAAGGGCCAAGAAGTAGTGTTGTACCTTGTCATTCCGGAAACCTTAGCGGCAGGTTATGTTCCGTTACCATTTTCAGAGTTCTAAGGAGCACATTTTGTCTGGCCGTTTCCACAAGCACTTTTGACCCAGATCTTGGTCGCCTTGTGGTGGCTTCTTCGCGGCTACTGCTCTCATTTACAAGCTCCATCCGGTGGGCTACATTCGGGTGGCAGCCGATGAAATGCCGCTTGAAGTTAGCTCGTCGTGTACCTTCGTTCTGCATCGATGTTCGCCAAACAACGATATTTTGTGCTAGAGGAATCGCGGATCACTTCCACCTCGTCAGAAATCTTTCTTTTCAAAGTTCCAGATCGACGCTTCACACTTTCATTCATCGCTAACACTATTCAAGAATATTAAAACAATTCACGGTGAAGAATATTCACTGTCGTAAATTATCGCGTCCGAATACAACGGATTGAAGAAAGACAATAATAAAACAAGACGGAATGAAATACAGCACGAACAGCACGAAATGTCATCACCCACCGGTCACTCACAGAGGCTCTCATCAATGACAGTATTCGGTTCGTTCGTGAACGCAAGCTTTAAGTCCGTTACATTGAAAGCGTTTGGAGATGACAAACGCTTTCGAATAGTACGAGGCGAATATCAGTAACCATGTACTACCATAGAGGTAACTCTAAGACTAGAAGGTCCCGAAGAAACGTGCTCAACTTTTTGGCTCAGCTCTGGTACTCTCTTTGGTCCCAAGCGAATCGATTCACCCCTCGCAACATAGGAAAAACCACTAACCCCTCATTTTATGTGTCAAACTTGCATAGCGAATCAAAACAAACATAGTGTAGTACTTGAATTTATACTAGAATGGGGCACGTTAGTCGATTTGCTTGGGACCAATAGGCTAGTCAAGTAGTGAGCCAATTTAAAATCGTTAGTTTCGTATTAATTGTTGGTACTACGATGCAGGAAAATTTGTGTTTTGCTGCGCGCACGCCGAGTAGGGGGCCTCCCTTAGCTCAGTCGGTTAAGGCGCAGCTACAAAGCAAGACCATGCTGAAGGTGGTTGGGTTCGATTCCCGGTTGGGTCTAGGAATTTTTCGGTTTGGAAAATTTCGCGATTTCCCTGGGCATAGAGTATGATTAACTTGCCACACAATTATACTAATGCAAAAATGGTACAGGCATCGAAAGCTCTCAATTAATAACTATGGAAGTGCATCTAGAACACTAAGTTGAGAGCACCCAATGAGCTAAAATGTGATAAGCATTAAGCTTGAAATGCGACGAAGAGAAAGGGAGAGAGAGAGAGAGTGAAATTTGTTGAGCATCTAGAATTGATGTGTCGCCCCCCTTTTCAAAGAATTCAATACTCTCGGAATTTCCTTAGAGTGGTCATCCCAACTCTTTCAAAATTCTTCTCATAACTTATTTGGAATATTCATTAGACATTGACCTCTTCACAATCGCAATTTTGCAATTTTCCACAGAACTATCTAAAGATTCTACTCTGAAGTCACACCATTGACTTGGAGTTCTAGCGAAATTTCTCTTATGGTGGTAAACTCCAACCGGTATTATCCTCGGTTTAAATCCCGATTAAGAATGTCCGGCTGCTCTGATGTCGACATCAGATTTATTCAACACGATGCTAAGCAAACATTTTGCAGATCATCCATACAGGGACGGGATTAAAAGTTAATACGAATTGGAGCGTACCGCCATTAGAGGTCTTCAAAAATGTCTTGGTTTTTTTCTATGAAATACATTGTTTTTATTTCCGGATTTCTGCAGGTTCATCAAAATGATTGTAAGTGCATCTCAATTTTGTTTTTTTATTTTCTTTCAAGAAACCCAAAAAACTGTCTACGTAGCTAATTAACAGTCCCTAAGATAAGCAAGGCCTCCTTGTACAGATCCAGATAGAACGTCCGGCCTGTTCTAATCAAACTAGTGTCATCTTCCTGTCAAACTCAAAACTCCACAATGGCTTTGAAATGCCCAAATATAAATTTTAAAATTACGCACAAATCTTGCTTCCTCTTCAAACCATTTGAATTTTCACTACACTTCAATCAAATTAACAAATTGTCCTCCTCCTCCTCATCTCGAGCATAATTATCCACCTCAACAAATCACTTAAGATAATAAACAAATTTGTAGCATATAGATAACAACCCCACTGCATAACCTATTCCGCCTCCCTCATTCATCATCAAATTATGATCACCTCCGACAAGCTCGCTCACCTTCCAACCCCACCCTGAACCACCCATCTACTAAGGCTCATAAGTGCCACAAAACCTCAACGAAAACTCATCCGCCCGCACCCTCCTGTGATCGTCACCCGTGATCATCATCATCACCGACCGTCGTCTCTCCGTCGCACACAGGTTACTTTCACTTTCCAGCAGCGCCTTCTACGCCGCACTCTGATACCTGATCTCATCTTTACTCACTCGAACTCGGGGTCCCTCTCTCACGTTTCATCCCAGCTTTGGCTTTGGTCATCTCTTGAGTGCTTCATCTGTCTCTCTCTTCTTGTTGAGTGAGTGACTACCGCATCAGTCAGCCAGCGGGAGCGGCGCACTTTCTCATTCATTAGACTTTGCCGCCCAGCAAAGAGGATGATCATGATCATCATCATCGTCATCACGTGCTCGGTACTGCTGCTACCGACCGACAACTTCTTTTTTCGGTAGTTATGGTAGGTAATCTACTACCGGGAGCCGTAAAGCTCGAAGCCAATCCGTAGAAAGGGAAGTTGGAAATTGTTGTGCGTGCATGCACGACGCCGCCGCCGGCGGTGTCGACGACAATGATGCTTTTCGGAAAATGCAACCTCTTCCTTCTGTTTACATTCCTCCCGACCCCGGGGTTGGTTGGCGGTTTTCCGCTCCATTCAATGCACGTGAAACGCGCACGGATCTACTATGTGCAAATTGGATGGGAAATGTTTGCCTTTCTATAGGAAAATTATTGCCTATTTAACACATGCTGCTGCGCAGCTTAACAGAGTGTTTAACCTTTTTGACGTTCCGCGTGTCAGTTCGATGACTTTCCCCCCCAGCTGGCAGGTTTGAATGCGGTTGATGAGCGCAGTAGTCACCGAGATATTATGGATAACGATCCGCGCACACTTTGATTACGACATCTGGCAGACGACGACGGGATTCATTCGTATGCAAAGCCGAAGCCGGTTTCCATTGGTTACATCATGACCAAATTTCAATTCGCTGCTCTGTTGTTTGTTGTTTGAACTCGAATGAGGTTTAATTACCAAATAAGGACGTCATCCAATGACCGGTGAATTAAGTTTACAAAAAAAAAAAACGATATAATGCACGCTAGAGCAGCTGTAATCATATATGGCAATCAAGTACAGGTTTATAGAATTGTGGCTTCTTCGAAGACCGTAAATTAGACCGCATTAGCGCGGCAGCATCATGGCATCGATCGTCAACTTTTATAAGAGCAAGCAGTATGTAAGTAAACAAAACACTAACCTGTCCGGAATGGCCGGAGCCGCAGCGATGCGGTGCAGTTGACCTTCCTGAAGCATCTCGTCGTCCTCAGTACAGAATAGTGACGTGCCGTGCACGATTGCGGCTAATAAGCAATGAAGAACCGGTCCATGCTGCTTCTGCTGCTGCTGCTGCTGCACCTTAATTCCAATTCTCTGCTCGTATTTGTGTATGCATACATATGAATAGATAGGTAGTTGGTAATTGACGATCACACGTTGAACGTTACGAGCGAGCGCTTCCTGATGCGATCGCGGCTCGCTGGGAAACCGGCCTGCAGCGAAATGGCCCCCAGCAGGACGTGGTCCTTGGGGTCAGCTTTCGTGATCTCCACGCCAATATCCACGATCGACACCGGTTGGATGATGGATTCGAACGAGAGGTAGTAGTATCTGCAAATTAATGAGGTCGATAGACATGTGTAGATAAAGATAGCAGACCGATGGGGACACAGATGAAATGATTTTATAATGTTGCCATTTTGCATTTATCGCGATTTCCGGGTACAACGTAATCGATGAATATTCATTAGCATATATTACTAGGAGGTTCGCTTCGCTCTGGAATGCGATTTCTTTGGTAAATTAATTCGAGTTCAAAAGTCGCTGCTCGTGGACCGGAGCAGGTGGATAAGGAGAAAGATATCCTCCGGTGAACTTAAGAACAAGTGCTTCCTATGCAATTTCGATAATTTACTATCGGCGGGCTTGAAGAGATGGATGATCCCGCAGCTATTGCGTCGAGCAGTGGAGTGATTAGTACTGGCAATAACAAAGTATATAAGGGAATCTCGATTAGCAATTTCCCGCATTTTTTCCCGATTTATTTCCGGAATTTTGGAAATTTTCCCGGTTGTGCGATATACATATAAATGAAGTATACACAACAGGGTGACCACTGGTTTAAAGCATTTAAATTCTGGATTTTGGCCTGATTTTACCGGTTGTCTGAAACATAGTTTGCCCGGTTTAATAAAAACAGTTAAATAGGTGAAATACACCAAGAAACATTACAAGTTTTATCGATATTCTACAGGAACGAAAGTTAATGATAAAACCAAAACTGTTACCCTTGTGACATAGATTATTATTTCGGAAAACTAATGGTTCTAATGATGGTTTCGACTGGGTGATTGGAATAACGTTTTACGATAGTTCTTCAGTCTCATTTGTAGAAACGGTTGTTTGTTTACGTTCCCAACGTTTCGGCCGTAAGGCTGCGGCCTTTTTCAAGAGTTGTAATTTTTAACGTTTCCCTATGCATTGTTTTTGGATTACGCATAGAGGATAGCGTGCGTGGAGCTTTTCCATTGTCTGCTGATTTAGTTAAGAGAATAATAATAACTGTCTTCTGGTACACAGCTCTACAACCTTTGCGGTTCGGTTGATCCTTATGAATGCGGTCTACAGTTGTGAGATCAAGGCTTATAGTTGTCAGTTTACAAGGGAATTCAGAAGAAAATTGCAAGGAAATTCCCAGGAGAATCTTTGTCATCCTTTAAGAAGCATCGCAACGTAATTTTTAGAAGAAATCGAAATCAATTTTAAGGAGCATTAAAACTGAATTTTTGGAGGGAGTCAGAGAAATGCTGAGCTGAATTTCAAAAAAATTTCCAAAGATTGAACGGACTAACGAAAAGTACAGCGCCTGCATGCGCAATATTAAACCGAGCTGCCTGTTAGCTTTGGTCAGGATGTCAATGTTGTGCGATTTGAAGGTCAATCCTATCCAAGTTTGCCCAGAAATAGAATAATCAAATATAATCGGTTTTTTTTTTGCTGTGAAAAGAGATCACTTGTTGATGTTGAGCGTCAGCAAGTTACGGGAGCACCAACTCTGGATACGATCCACAATCAACTGCAACTCCTCACAAACAGCAATGCAATTGATGACCATGTACATGTTGACGTCATCAGCGTAGAATATCCGGCATCCCGGTGGGATTCTCATATTACTACCTTGAGGAACGCCGGAAATGTTAGGGAAGTCTTCAAAATGAGAAGCTTCAATCTTAACGCAAAGTGAGCGGTTCGTAAGGTAAGATTTGAACCAAGAAATAAAGGATACAGACATTTCCGAGTTTTCGGGCACCGTACCCAGATGGGAAAATGTGGTTAAGAATCCCACCGGTGCCCGTAGATTGTTTCGCAAATTAATTAATGGAACTGCCCTGAAATTCTCTGGTCTTCCTTGAAGTTCTTGGAACACCCCTAAAAATAATGAAACTGCCTGAAAAATTAAAAACTTCTCTGCAGCTCTCTGGAGTTTCTTGATAATCTCGAAACTTTGCTGAATTTTCATAAGATTCTCGGTCCCTCTGCATAGTTCCTGCAATTTTCTTAGAAACTAATTGAACAACCTTGATGTTCTTGAAGTAACCCTACAGTTCTCATAGTTCGCCTAAAAATGTCTGAACTTTTGTAAAGTTCTCATAATATGCCTGAAGTTTGCTAATCTTCACAGGAGTTAAATTTTCGGAACTTCATCTTCAAATTTTCTGAAAGACTGGACTTTTCTGAAGTTATTTAGACTGCCCTTAGTCTCTCTGAGTTTCCCTGAAGACCTTTAGACCTAGCTTCCCTGAGGTCTTTGGAATTTATTTTCCTCAATTTTTCGTCAAATTCTCTAGACTTTTCTGAAGTTTTCTTAACTTTCCCGATGTTCTCTGAGTATCCTTGAAGTCATTAGATATTCTTAAAAGATCCTGAAGTTTCCCTGATGCTGAAGGAACCACCTTGAAGTTCTCAAAGCTTCCCTAAAGTGCCCGTAATTTTATCTTGGCACTTCCCTTATTACCCCGCAATTTATTCATGAAACACCACCAAAAATCTCGATATTTCCTTTCATTCATTAGAAATTCAATATAGTTCCTAAAAATGTTCGGACCATACCGAATGTCTCTAGTAATTCTCTGAAGCTCTTGTTACTCTTCAGATGATGTTCCTGGAATTGAAATTCTTTGATCTAACCTGAAGCTTCCGCAATTTTACTGAAGTTTCCGATACTTCCTTGAAGCTCATGGAACTTCCCTTAAAATCTCGTAAGAGCTTCTCTAAGGTTGCCTGAAGTTTCCATTTCTTCATGAATTTCCTTAAATGTTCAAGAAACTCTCGGAACGTTTCTTGCATTCCAACAGTTTCCCTGATATTCATAAAACTCCTGAACTTCTCGAAATATTTATAATTCCTCAACACTTCTTGAAAGTTCTTGCAACAATTTAACAAAATTACTCTGAAGTTCTCGGATCTTCCTCAGAGCATCCCTGTAAATAATGAAACTGCCTAAAAAGCTATAAACTTCTCTTTACGCTTCCCTGACGATCTTGGAACTTAGCTAAAGTTCTCGGAAATGAAGTTTCTCAAAAAGATTTCAATATATGAAAAACTTCATGAAGTTCCGGCAATTTTAGGGAAGTCCAAATAGTTTCTGAAAAGTTTAGAAAACATATTTTGAAAACTTTCTGACAAACTCCATTTCCGATAACTTTAGCAGAGTTCCAAGATCATCAGGGAAGTGAAAAGAGAAGTTTATAGTTTTTTAGGCAGTTTCAATGTTGTCCAATGGATGTTCCGAGGAAGATCAGAGAACTTCACAAAAACTAAGCTTTCGATATTGGGGCCTTATCTAGCCTAGTCAGTAAAGGTACGGTATTAGCAAGCATAATATTCGATCCCCGGTCCGGTCAAGGGAGTCTTGAAGGTTGGACACTTTCTCGACTTCCCGGAGCGTGGAAGTATCCTTGTGCTTGCCACTCAATATACAAATCGATGCAATGGTGTTGGCATAGAAAGCTCTCAATTATTAACTGTGGAAGTGCACCTAAAACACTCAGTAGAGATCCGGCAAAACGCTCGATACAGAAGCGTAAAAATCCTAGAAGCTTCCGTTACATATCTTTAATTTTCCCTGAAAGTCTGGACATGCCTAAAGTAATTAAGGGCACTCTGAGCATCTTTGAAGATCTCTAGACCTAGCTTCCCTGAATTCTCTGGAATTCTTGAAAGATTCCTTGACTTTTCAAAAGTTTTCTGTATATCCCTGAAGTTCCCCAAAGCTGATGGAACCACCTTGAAGTTCTCGAAGCTTCCCTGAATGCTCGAAATTTTACAGAAGTTTCCTCATTATCCCGCAATCTATTAATGAAACTCCCAAAAATTTCTCGGTACCTATTTCCTTTCATTCCTCGGCACAACTACCTGTAATTTTTGTGAACCATATCTAAAATCTTTCTCGAAATTCTCGGTACTCTTCTGATGATAATTCTGGAATTTCCTTAAAATTAATGAAACTGCCCTAAAGATCTCTAAACTTCGTAAGGTGAATTTATCGCAACTACTGTGAAGCTTCCGAGATTTTTAATAAGTCCTCTTAACTTCCCAGATGTTCTCTGGACTTATTTTTATTTTCTTGGAACTTCTAGAAGGTTTGATTTCACTGAATTTAATTGATCTGTCCAAGGGGCGGGACACCTTGCCTAAATATGTCAACATATTTTATGATATTCTCTTTTTCTTGGCTTGCACTTAAAACCTCTATCTGTTACCGAAGACTGGCAACTTTGTCTTAATCAGAAACAGTAGCGCTGCGCTCGAGCAAAGGTTGTAGCAACGCATAGAAAAATTAGCAAATACACAAACCTTTATTCTGAGCATGGAACCTTTGCTATCCAATTCGTTCGAAGCATTTAGCTTTGAGCGGCACATGACGTGATTCTGCCTGTCTCATACCGGACGTATGAGAAAGTGGAAGAGTTGCCAGTCTTCTTGATATGTTGTCTTCGCTTGTACGTTAATTAGGTTTTGAAAATACTGAAATATTATCGTTGATATTAAGATATATTTGACGATATTTCTAAGCTGTCTTACCCCATGGAACTGCCCAAATATTCTTGAAATTTGCCTGAAGTTCTCATAATTTTAATGATGAAGAAGGAACTGCCTGAAGTTACATAACTTTCCTTAAGATCTTTGAACTCAACTGAATTTTTGGACAAACAAACTGAAGTTAATAGAACTGCCCTGAAGCTATTTGATCTTTTCTTTCCTTCCTTTATTTTTATTTGTCGGCGCCGTCTTTCTTTGATCTTCATTGAATCATCCTAAAATCTGTGGAACTGGCTTAAATCTAACAGAACTCACCTAAAAGATCTTAAACTTTCTCGCTCTTGAAGTTCTTGGAACCAACCTGAAGATTTCGGAGAATCTTTAAAATTTTTAGATTTTCCAAGAAATTTGCTGAACTTCTTGAAGGTTCCCGCCTTTTTCTGATGCTAATGGAACTTACATAAAGTTTTCAAAATTTTCCAGAAGTTCTCCGATATTCAATAACGTTTCCGCAATTATCCTGAATTTCACGGAACTCCCAACTGTTTGGATGTTTTTTGGACTTTGTT